TCTATGTATTTGAAAAAATATTATACGCAAGAGATTCCTTGTACTGATCCAGGAAAAACTTGAATATCTTCGGCGTATACACATTAGCAACTTGCTTCACAATAGGGCTAGTAGAAAACCGAGAATCAGCCAACCAAGATAAGGCATAGTGCTCTTCTTGTTCTTCAGCATCCCTCTTATTATCCAGCATCCTCTCAAAGTGCACAAAGAATCTACTAACGCTAAACTCTGACTGCAAGTAATGTCGAATATTACTATTGCAGCACTCACTTAGCTGGGTACTCTTCATTCCTGCACCAAAATAATTATTCACCCAGGCTGAAGACCACTTCTTCCTGAGTTTGTAAATGCCCTGTAACCAACTGTGTCCCAAAGGTCCCTTCCCAGGAAAACACTTCTCAATCATCTTCTTCCAATTATACTCAAAATCATCCTCATCATCAGCATTATACATCAGATAACTAAGCTCACGAAGGAAGTCAGAGTCACACAAACTTCCCAGATTAACAACTGCATTCTGAGCAATATGCCATGTACACAACTCATGAAAACAATCTGGGAAAACAGACCTTATACCAGCAGCCTGGTTAGTAAACATTGATAACGGTCTCACACCTCCCATGCATTTCAACAACTGATCGAAAAGCCATTCAAATGTTGCGTTGTTTCATCATATAGAAGAGCAGCCGCAAAGACAGTCAGTTGGTGATGATTGTTGAAACCAACAAACAAAGCTACAAAAACATAAGAAAATGTGAGTAAAAACAATTCTACCAACACATACCATGTGGTAAAAGGTACGAATAACAATAATACCAACCCGTACCATATGGTAAAGACTTCTAAGAACAAAAAAAACAATCCATACCAGACCATACCATATAGTACAGACTTCTAACAACGCAAAAACCACCTCAAATAACCTTGTTACCAACCCATATTATATGGTAAAAGACTTTTAAGAACAAAAACACAATCCATACCAGCCCATACCATATGGTAAAATACTTTTAAGAACATAAAAGCAATCCATACCAACCCATACCATATGGTACAGACTTTTAAGAACAAAATAACCATGATACAGAATGATAATAATAATAATAATCATACAAACTCACAAAGACAATAATAAACAACAAACTAGAAAACATACCTAATGGCCGATACTCTTTGTTAGTCCGGTAAGTAGTATCAAAACTAATTGAATCACCAAAATAATGATAATCAATCCTCATCTTCCCATCTGCTCAAAAAATACTAGCAATGTTCTCTTCAACATCAACCTCCACCTCATGAAAGAACCCAGGATCCAGCTGTGCTTGACGTCTAAAGTATTCAAGCAATGCAGTCGCATCACCATACTCCATTGATAACGTCCTCACCGTTCGCAGATGGTTCTTCAAATCATTCTTTGTGAACCCAACAAACTTCCGACCACCACCAGCCCTACTAATTGCATTATACGAAGAAGTCACACCAATACCAGCAGCATCATTCACCTCTGCCAACATCTTATACACAGGAGCCATTCGTCTGCTGGATCTCACATAGTGACGCAGAGACTCAGGAATCATGTCATGATTGTGCACATTATACCAACGATAGATCTTGTAGCATTTAAACTCTTTAAACCACCTGATTCGAATATAAGCACCATTGCATCCACCCCTGAGTTCTGGAACATTACGAACACGGACATTCGTATCAACAACACCTGCATTATCAGGGTTATTCTCGCTACCTCTTCTCCAACCTTCCTTATTGCAACAATACTTGATATAATATACAGCTGAAGAACCACCATTGAGCTTCGGACACGCTGATTGTTGGTAAATCCTCACACCAAAACCTTCATGATTCCCATAATCCACATAGAAATTGTATGCATCATCCGGTGTATTAAACTGTAAGTCCTTCCAAGAATCACGAACAGTAGGATCTATACCATTGAAACCTATAAACATTATGAAGCAACATATTAAATATGTACAAATATAATACCACCATGGTATGATATGGTAAAATGAATTTCATGTCACAACAGAATCACATCTCATCATATTACCACACTATACCACATGGTATGGCATGGTAAAATCAAATTACCACACTATACCATATGGTATGACATGGTAAAATCAAACTATCACACTATACCACATGGTATGACATGGTAAAATCAAACTACCACACTATACCACATGGTATGACATGGTAAAATCACTTACAGCAGCAACAAAAATCCCAAAAACCCACACTATACCACAAACTATACATGATAACATCAAATTACCATATTTTACCACATGATATGACATGGTAAAATCAATTATCACACATAACCCCACCTTTAACTTGAAACTACCACACTATACCACATGGTAAAGCATGGTAAAATCAAATTACCATATTTTACCACATGGTATGACATGGTAAAATCATATTTTACCACAACAGAATCACATCTCATCATATTACCACACTATACCACATGGTATAGCATGGTAAAACCAAATTACCACACTATACCACATGGTAAGGCATGGTAAAATCAAATTACGACACTATACCGATGATTCCAACCATGGTACAAGTAATTACCTCCATGGTATGATATGGTAAAACTTAAATACAGAGCACAATAACATCACAACACAACACTATATTATCACCTCTCATCGTATACCAGTAATTACCACCATGGTACCATATGATATCTAACACATTCAAACTTCAATAAACAAACAAATTTGTATATCTTACCTCCTGATTCACCAGAGTTAGCTGAATGACCAAATCCAAGATCGATAGATGAAGAACCAGATCCTACAACGCTGGTTGAAGAACCAGATCTATCAAATGGAACAACATCGCCACAATTTACGTAACTCATCTCACCAGAATACTGCAAAAAAACCAAAACACAAAGCACATAACACATGAACAAGCTCGATTAGCTAAACAGAACACACAAAAGAAACTCAGAGAAGGTAAATTCTACAAAACCTACAACGAAACCAGAGAAACTCAAACACGCTCGATTAGCTAAACATGAACAAGCTCGAATAGCAGCAATGAAAAACCTCCAATGAAACCAGAGATCGTCAAAACGCTCAACAAAACCAAAGATAAACAGAAAACTCGATTAGCTAAACAGGAAGAATCAAAAAAACTAATATCTAACCTCGCCGTCGATCAATTATGGAGAATCAGAAAGCTCGATTCGATTAGCTGCTACTCGCAGTCTCCATCGCCGTCGATCAATTATGGAGAATCAGAAAAGATTCGCCGTCACCTTGTTTCTCAGCTGCTGCTCGCAGCTTTCTCTCTCCAAAAACCGAATTCAACTCGCGCACACGTCGATCAATTAGGGAGAATCAAAAACCTCGATTCGATTAGCTGCTGCTCGTCGATCAACTATGGAGAATCGCCGTCCCTTGTTTCTCAGCTGCTGCTCGCAGTTTCCCTCTCCAAAATCCGAATCCAACTCGCGCACAGAAAAAGATCCACAACGGACAAAAGGGGGAAGTCGTTAATTCAAATTTCGGACAAAATTGCCCCTGACCATCACCGCATCAACCACAGCCACACGATCAGCCCGGCCCAGATCTACGGTCCTAAGGTGGTTACTCACGGGTGAGTAACATAGGGTTACTCACCCTATCCCAAGCCTGTTTTGGGATTTGATTGCTCTTCCCGAAAGAGAAGGTGGTTTTGGTCTTAAGGACCTCTTGGTATGGAATGTTTCTTTTGCGTCAAAGCTTATTTGGCTACTTTTGATGAGGGGTGAAAAATTTTGGATGGCCTAGGCCTAGTGTTATAAGCTTAATGGACGTTCATTTTAGAATTAAAGAATACATAGACTAGATTTTGGGCATGGACCAAGCTATTGAAGCTTCATTCATGGTTTTGGTTTTCTATGTGTGTTGAAGGTGTTGGTTTGGTGAGTTGGGAAGGCACCATGTTATCCAAGTACTCGGTGAAGCTGATTTAGGAATCTATCGACCTGTTGTGCATTGGTTCAAGCTATTACTCAGTATCATATCATTTTTTACCTGGCTTGTCATGCTTGATTGTATTGTGACACAAAAAAAATTGATTAGTTGGGGGAGATGTATCGCTAGATTGTCTGGTTTGTGTTGGAGGAAGTGAGTCAAGAGACCACTTGTTTTTTGGTCGTTCATTTACAAGTCGATGGGTGGGAATAGTGTTTCAAGATTGGGAATTTCCTTTTTTTTTGGTCTGGAATGTTTGTGTTACTACAATTGTTGCTTTGACAAGAAGAAACGATGTACACGGGTGCATTTGTTCGATTTCTAGCACATCTGATATATTATGTTGTTTTTAAATTAAAAATTAGTTTATGACCCTTAAGAAATCAGTGGTAAACATTACAATATAATTTTAAATTTATGAATCATTTTTTAGGAATTAAAATTGATTAACCATTTACAAAGGCAATGGTACATCGGTTCCCGAAAATAGATAGTCTTATTAGAATTATGGATTTAAGTTTATTTTAGTTGAAATTAAGAGTAAAGGAAACAAAAGACAATTTTGAAAGTGAAAACTGCAAACAAAATAACAAGGAAAAAAGGTTAGGAAAAAAAACAACATAATTAAAAGGAAAAGTACTAAAGGTAGCCATGTCTCATGTTTTCTCTCTCTCTAACCGTTGTTTGGGTGTTTTTTCCACCGTCATCCATTTTTTCGTCATTCCTTAAAATTTATCTCCACCTCCCCTAAAGTTTAGGGCTTTCAATTTCGAGAATCTCTCTTTCCTACCAATTCTCATAATTTCATTCCTCAACGTCAGGGGAAGGGTGACCGTCAAACTTTTTCCTTCCATTCCCGATCACCTCACCCCATTAGTTTTTCTCTCCTCTCTTTTTGTTCTTTCTTTGTTTCCTTCTCCATCTTTTGATGATGATGGTGTCTGCTTCCTGATTATCCTTTCCTCATCCATCATTGTCTCCCGGAACGATCCCATTCTCTCCATGGAGGTATACTATTATCTTCTTCAGTTTAATTTCTCCCTATTTTTCTTTATTTTAGCGGACTACCCACTAATTTCTTTTAACCCTAAGTTTTTGTCTTTTTATCATGCTTTTTGTTATTTGGATGTTTTATTGATTCGCTTTCATTGGGTTTTCATTTAAATTTGTTCCAGTAATTTGTGATTTTGAAAAGATTGTTCATTTCTATGGAGAATTCTTTCATGTAGTTTCATAATAAGTTTTTGTAAGAGTAAATACAATTTTTTAGACAAACATTTTTCCCATTCCAAAATAGTAGCCAAACATTTCAAAATCTTAATCATTAGCCAATAGTTAAGTCTCTGTTGATAATTTAGTTAAATGACGATGAGTTGGTGAGTATTGTGCGGACTTGGATCTTAGGTGGCTAACTTAAGTGTAGGAAAGGTGGCAGTGATGGACTGGTGGTGATAATTATCCGCATCTGTGCCACAAGTTTGGCTAATATTATTTCTTTTAATGTTTTTTAATTTAAATGATAAGTAAAAATATACTGATGTGGATGTTGAGATGGAGTGTTGGTTAACGGTGTTATTAACGGTTACATATGAGTGGCTAAAATTTTAGACAGATATAAAAGGTTTGGCTATTATTTTGTATTACCAAAGATTTGGCTATTATTTTGAGTTGGGAAAAAGGTTTGGCTAAAAATAGTATTTATTCTTTTTTTAATCATGAGTTAGTTTTTTGTTTGTGGCGGTTTGTGAAGGTTCCGGAGGTGGAGGAGAGAAAGAAAGGTGCATCAGGAGCTCAAATGACATCAGCTGCAGCTTTTGTGGAAGGAGGAATCCAAGATGGGTGTGAGGATGCTTGTAGCATTTGCCTTGAGAACTTTACCTCTAGCGATCCTTCAACGGTATGTATAATTCTTTTATTTTTAAACACAAACAGGTTGAGGATGAGTATCACCTTCTTACATTTTGATTATAAGACAAGAAGATATTAGTGTACCTTTGCAATGTTCATATGTGAAAGTGTTGCGGGTGTTTGGTCTTTGCAGCTGACAAAATGCAGACATGAGTATCACCTGCAGTGCATCCTTGAATGGTATTATACTCTTTCAAACCATCTTCGGTTCCAATTTTTTATTGAGTTTTGGAATGTTGTTAGAATTTACATTTACCTATGTTGTCGATGTGTACACCATTCTTCAATGATCATACATTATGTGTTTTTCGTGTCCTTCTTATCTTACTCTGATCACCCTTTCACATCCATACTCATTATTTTACCCCATTTTTGCATGTAGTATGTGGCAATAATTTTGTATGAGTGTTGAACCTTTTGATTTTAGGGTACGGTTTTTTTGCATGCACACTTTTCTTCATATCCACAAGTATAAGAATAAACTAGTAAATCTTATAGCATTTAATACTGTAAGTAATAGAAATGATCACTATCTTTTATCTAAAACTGTTACAAGTTTAGTTATACACCTCTATTTCTAGGCAGAGAGATGGTGAATTAGGATATGGAAGATTTAAGGTCTCAGCTTTTTTGTAATTCACTCCTGAAAGGATCAAACTTTCAAATATTTTCATTGCATTTCTAATGTTTAGGTGCCAGAGAAGCTCAGATTGTCCCATGTGCTTGCAACCTGTTAGTTTGAAGGACCCCTCGAGGTTGGTCTCATTCTTGTCAAAATGCCTTGTTTTCCATTTTATGTGTGTGAATTTTAACTCCCTTAATAAACATGACTTATTATGTATTGGGCAGCCAAGAACTATTTGCAGCAGTCGAACGAGAGAGAAAAATCAGAGCAGCTGCTTCCAGAAATACCACCATATTCCGCCACCCTACCCTGGGAGACTTTGAGTTGCAACACGTAGGTTATTTCACCATCATTAATCTAAATATATTCTCTTCGTAAAATATATTAGTTTCACAATACTGAACACTTGTAGGTTCTTGCCATGCAGTTGCCTGTTGGCACAAGTGAGGCTGAGCTCGAGGAACGCATAATCCAACACTTAGCTGCTGCTGCTGCCATGGGAAGAAGTCATTATGGTGGTAGGAGGGAAACCCAGAGAAGTAGGTCTGCTACTGCACAGCGCCGCCCACACTACTTAGTATTTTCCTCATCTCATAATGGGAATGCAAGGACTGGACAAGTTTCCTCCTCCATGCCACATGTTGCGCGGGAAAGTGATTCACCCGCAATCAACATAGCTACTCCATCGACCCCTGTGACAGGCGGCAGGGATGAGCCAACTCAGCTTCATGCATCATCTGAGTCTTCCAATAGGCAGACTACTCGAGGGTTAGTTTCATCAAGTGAACAATAATACCTTAATTTTTCTCTGTACACTTCGCATACAAATTTTTATATTTGAAATGTGGAGTCATTCATGATCTTTATTTATGTATAGAGAAAATACGTGGCAATCTTCTCTACCCAGTCAGGATGCAGCTGGATCTTCGGACTTGCAATCATTTTCAGAATCTTTGAAGTCTAAACTTAGCGCAGTATCAATGAGGTATAGAGAATCATTCTCGAGAAGCACGAGAGGGTGGAAGGAGAGGTTTTTCTCTCGAAGCAATTCCTTGTCGGATATCGGTTCTGAAGTTAGGAGAGAAGTGAACGCTGGAATCGCAAGTGTTTCTCGTATTATGGAGCGTCTTGAGAGTCGAGATAGTACTAGAACTTCTGGTGGTTCACAATCTATTTCCCCTGCTCATACCGATAACAGGAGAGAGCGAGAGAGCAGCCGTTTGAATGGAAGCAATTCATCATCACCTTTTGTTGCCTCTACAGCAGCTTCAGGCTCCACTTAAGGTGTAAAATATATCGTATGCAAGAACTTGTATTTGTCCTCAAAATTTCATATTTGAAAGACTAGTCTGCAATTTTCCATTCATGGTTGATAAAATATCTCCAACTGTTTTTTTTATGGAGTCATTGAATTGAATTTGTGCAGGTTCTAGAGTGAACATGTGTCCGCAAATATGGCTTTCCATGACAGGGAAAAGGGAATGGAATTGTAAATGTTGAGATGAATTATATGGTCTGTGGACTTGATATTGTTTGGAAGGAGTACATATCCATGTATATTTGATTTAAAAGGTTGGAGAAAATGGTATATTATGATTCAATTTGTTCTCATAGATTGTGGTATCTTTCGGGAATTGCTTTCTCAAATCTTGTATTATATCAATATGTATGATCGCGCACATACATAAAATCAACTAGTCTTTTTCTATTGTAGACTTGTAGTGTTCAATTCATCCACTTTAGCTAGGTTTTAGTTTATCATTTCTATTATGTTGTATTTCTAGCATATTGGATTTGATTTGGACAGGAAAGTAACAAGCTATGGGAAGCATTCAATGTAAATATGTCTGTAGCAATTCAAACAGACTTTCACATTATCAAAATTCCAAGGACCAACAAATATTCCTAAATAACCTTTGAGGTACACATAAAGGCACTTGACGAGCATTTCATGTGGTAGTCTTATCAATGCATTCGAAACCAAATTTTTGCCACAAGCAAGATGAAAAAAAGCTAGCTAATGTGTGCTTTCGCTTCATTCCATCAACTATCTAATTAAGAAAGAGAAGCAAGGAAAACACTTGGTTAAGTGTTGGTGATCTAAACAATCGAGCATTGATTCTATACTTGTACGAGGGGGTAATCAATCCTCCCATACACATATAGGTCAATGAGATATTACAAGAAAGTAGTTTTCTAACATACTAGATGATATTATAAAAAAGAGCTAATACCACTAGGAAACCCAAACTACTAAGAAAGTGTCATTTGTGTCCTAAACTATTTTTTCTTTAGAGTTCACCAACGTTGACCGTTAGTACTTTACAAATGGCACATTCTTAATAGTTCGGGTTAGGACATAAATGACACAAAAATATAATCGGCTGGGATACAAATGTCATATTCGATACTTTAGGACACAAATGACACATTCCTGATAGTTCGGGTTTCCTAGTGGTATTAGCCCTATAAAAAACATAATAATATCATTCAACAGAATCAAAAATATTGAAATATAAACATAAATATAAGATTCAAAAAAGCGCTAGGCATAAGGCAAATGCTTGACTCCTGACTTGTGCCTAGGTAAATTAAGGGTAGTCTAGGCGCGCCTAGACGTCCAGAGCAAAATTGAAAAATATTCTCAAATATTTCCTGTTTTCTAGAATTTCATATAATGTTTGAAACGTGTAGTTTTTAACCGTTAAACACTTAACATAACATATAACAACCAAGTAATGGACATTTTCTAGAATTAAAAGTTTATAAAATGTCGAAACACTAAACAATAAGTGAATGGAGTTGAAAAATCAGTATAGAAATACTGGAAATCAAGCGAATCAAACTAGAGATTGCAAGGCAAAATTCACCATAGATACTAATGCATACATGTAGATTAACATCCATGTAACCATGTTATAGCAGTACTTCAGAATCATCAACACAAGAAAGGCTAAGATTTGTAATTTTGTATATTCATTCAGTCTGGTCTATTTCTTAGTCGTGGCTTTTACAAAGTGCCAAACAGTTACTTCAAAATCATCAGAACAAGAAAAATATATCCATCTAGCCTTACAAACACCAATGTCAAATACAAGTGACCACTGAAATGGCATGACTAGTCTAATCTATCTACAAAGATGGGGTTTTTATTTGTTTAACACACAAATGACAAAACCAAATCCCGGCAGTTGAATTTTCCATCCAAGCTCAATTTTCCAAGCTTTGGCAAACAGAAGCAAACCCCTGATCGAATTGGTAGAGTCACAAGCCAAACAACTAGTGGCAGAGTTCGAATTGAAAATGAAGCAGAGGCAAAGACCCGTAAAAGCCACTTATAGGGATGACGACCAAGCTTCTCTGAGCGACGATGACCGAGCTTTTCCCTACAACACCGAGCGATGACGTCCTAGCTTCTCCCTGCACCACCGAGATACTTCGAGCAGCAAGCTTACGGAACGATGGAGTGGCCTAGCGCGAGAAGGAAGAGTAGTAGTTGCGTGATTAGAGATTTGATTTCTAACCTAAATCGAAGATGGAGGAAATTGATCTGGTTATCTCCAGCCAAAACACTGGAGGGAAATTCCAACATACAAAACGTTATGTTGTGAGGGAGGTGAGCTGATTTAGATGACCAATCCATTGCTTAGTCTCGCTTCTTTGGTGATTAGGCACAATTCCTAGCTATTAAGCGCATTCAACGCTTTTATTAGCGCTATTGCCAAAGGCAAGGCGTTCCCTCAACGCCTTGTGCCTAATTGAGACTAGCCATGCGCTAAGGCGCGCCTTTTTGAAGGTTGGCATAAATAAAGAAATACTCAAGCAACCAAAGAACATCATAACAAGAAACCATAGGATAAAATAGTCATATTATAAGGAGTTCACATTCCTACACAATCAATTCAAACTATCTATACAAAGAACAGACGGAGGATACGACAATCGATGATGATAACATCTCCTAGGCTGCGGCCCCACCTATGGATGCTAAGCTCTCCACTTGAACAAAGTGCAAACAAAAGTATGTGTTGGATTTTCGTTGTCTGTCTACAACTGAAGAGTAGGTCTCTATTTATACTAATTACATAAAGGGGTTTTCTAGTCTTTTCTCCTCTAAGTTGACTCAAAACCATCATTGTTAGAGTAGAACACAAGTTTCCTTTAACTTGGGGATGAATCAGGAGCGTCTAGAACCTTCTAGGCCTTGGACCCATCACGGCGGCCCAGCAGCGGCACCCACCTCCGCCTCAATTCTTCTTGGGTTGAGTTGGGTGGCCTGCAAGTAACCTCTTCATGAAATTTGGGCTCGATAGTTAGACCCGCGTGGTGGCCTTCATCCATTATTTCTTTATATTGGGCTCAGCTTTCTCCAGTAGACTCCTCTTGAGCTCTAGTTGAGACTTTAAGAAGACTACCCCTCGACTAGGCTTGGTCTTACGAGTGAAAACCCCTTTATCTTCCCAAATATGCAAATTTGATCCTCCATAATCTTTTAAGGTTTGATCCAAAGTATCCTAGATTGTGCTTCACCTTGAGAAGCACGTAAATATACAAAAAATGCATAAAAAGATACAAAAATACAATCTGGGTCTAAGAATAGATCATTGAACAAATAGTTATGATATTTAATTGAAATTAAGTAAAAAATCATAAAGATGCATTGATAAATGGGAAAAATATTTCAAATATGTGAGTTATAAATAATATAAATTGAGTGTTATCAGAAATACCCAACACTTGAATTTTGTTTATGAAAGAACCCCACTTCTAGGGATTCTAGGGACTATCTTCGGCACCCGCAATTACTCGTAACAAATAGGGATTTAGGGATTGAGAGAAATAATTAGGGATTTAGATGAGAAGAACATAATAGAATCGTGAATCGGCCGAAGCCTTGGATTAGGAGAGAATAGAAATTAGGAGTTGAGAGGAGAAATTAGGGTTTAGGATACTTTTCTTAATATTCTTCTTGATTGATTATGAATGAAACCCAAAGTACATATTTACAGGAAATAAACCCAAAACCCTAATAAACTAATCCTAACCTAATCGGCCTACCTAACACTTCTTAACTAACACTTCTTAACTAACATAATTAATTATTATTATTCTACTAATTATATGTTTAACATTCCAATCTCCTTGAAAGCGACCTTGTCCTCAAGGTTGCAGTCAACTTCCGTCTTGATCTTCCGCCTTCTCCGTTTCCTATTCCTCCAATTATGCTCCATTATATGATTTGGGCTTCTTGCATTGACCTCCTTGTACTCTTCAAAAGAAGACCCAATCAGACAACACAAATTGAGGCCCAATTCCACTAGGGAAACTCGGCCCATCACGCCTATGACCCATCACGCTTCTGCTGCAGAGATGGGGTATCGTTGCCCAGCCTTCCTCAGCAATTGGGTTCGATCCAACTTTATTTAGGTGCCTCCCTGTTGATCTACCCTAACGCGACCCTGGGCCCATTCTTGTCGGTCTGCACCACCACCTGCTCGGCCCAACAATGCGGCCTGCTGTTGTTGAGTTTCGAAATGGTTTGCGACTAAGGGTTGGAGAGGAGAACGCCACCCTCCTCCTTCGTCTTCTTTGCCAGTCGCCACATCCCCATCGCTGACGGCTTCTTCGACCTTCCCAGCGGCGAGCAGCCACATCGACGACACGGAGTCCAACCAACTTTCATCGTCGTCTCTGACTCCTCCCCCACGTCGTACGTCTCTTTCCTCTCATCCTTTAGCGTCGAGCTCTCCTCCTCCTTCTTCCCCTGTGTCCAACGGTCCTCTCTACGGCACGGTGGCTCGCTCGAATCCTCCGTCGTCCTCAGTGCCGCCTCGTCCTCCTACTTGCATCGTTTGCCTCCGCCATCGCGGTGCTCTGCCAGCCTCGCCTGGATCTCGGAGTTCCAAGTTGTCTGAGCACCTGCACTCGAGTTTGATGCCTCGACTCGAGCTGCTGGTAGTTGCGGTTCTGCTGCCATTAGTTGTTTTATTTCCGCAAATCATCTTCCATTAGCTTTCTGCAATTCATGTTCTTGAGAACTGGACATGATTTTGATGTGGATGCCTGCAACCGGGCTGTGATACCACTGAAAGAACCCCACTTTTAAGAATGCTAGGGACTGATCTTCGGCAACCACAATTACTCGTAACAAATAGGGATTTAGTGAATGAGAGAAAGAATTATGGATTTAGATGAGAAGAATAGGATAGAATTGTGAATCGGCCGAAGCCTTGGATTAGGAGAGAATAGAAATTAGTAGTTGAGAGGAGAAACTAGGGTTTAG